AAAAAAATTCCTATTCAAGCATCATTTTGATGCATTTCAAATTAAATATTAATTTTTGGAGTTCCTTCCTAGCTGAGGATCGGATATCCTTAAAATAATTTTCTGTATAATGTTTATTAAAAAGTTATAAGAAGAATTAAATTTGGATCTTAAGTCGTAAGTCCTTTTGTAAAACGGGCCCCAGACTATTAATAATGATACATTTTAGTAATGGTACCTATAGACGCTACTCATGCAGAAATTTAAATTTTTAAAATTTAAATGAATATCTTTTAAAATTTAAATTAATAAAATTATTAAGAAAGCAAAAATGTCCCCACCACGTTCATTCTATTAAAGACACTTCCATATCATAAATGCATCTTTCGATCACCTTGAGTTGCTATTCAGATGTCTTTCTGCGCAATAGATTGATATTTAAGATTTTTTCCACTAGAATGACACACACTGCGACATATGGATGGTAAATTGAATATCAATTTTATACTGCAGCTTATTCATACTAGTTTATTTGTAGGAATATGTTTTATACTTGATGAAAAAAGAAAGTGTTTCATATTTAAGATTAAAAATGCGATTTAGAATTCATCCTTTTTTTCACCATGGCATGTAAAATGAAGAAGCTATACGACGTATTGGAGTTTAATCTGAAGTAAGCGAGCAGAAGCTCTGGTTATATGGGGAGAAGTCTATACCGAAGTTGGTAACAAACGCGAAAAACTTTTATTTAGCATGCTTCACTTCTCTGCCTTCTCTACCCTTACTTGTCCGATATTTGATTAAGCTTTATATATACTTTGGAAGACGACAAAATCTAAGGAAAAATAATTCTCTATGCAAGATTCCGAATTTTAGGAATATATATGAGCACAGACATGAATATAGATGTAGATAATATTGCTTTACCAAGTGGGTGTTGCGTGAAGTTGATAAAACAGGGATATCAACTGTCTCGTTTAAATTAAGTCAACATTTCACATATAAAATGGTCGATACATTGACCTTGTCAGCAAAAACGGTACTTCATTTCGTCAAACGTTGACTGTCGTTTTTCATACAAATAACTTTTATGAATAACTCGTTTACAATAATAGGGACCCGTATCGATCATGACTGGATGACAGGGGATGCTTAACTCTCCATGGTACCTGATTCACCTCTGATGTTTAGGAAGTCCGTGTTTGCTCTGCTATGGATTTGTAGAGTTTCGATGAACTTTGAGCATAATTACTGACCATTGTCCTCATGTTATATACATAATTATCTTGATTATTGCAGTTTCAATTATTCACATTGTCTGATATAGTAACAATATATAAACAAAAAATATATATACACAGTAAAACACGTTTATAGTGAACAAGCTTTTAATGATTTCGCCCTGACAGCGAGATGATTTTGCGTTCCCCGTGGTTTTAGAAAATTATTGTAAACAGAAGGGATATAACAAATTACGCTTAAAATGAAGCAAATTAAGCAAGTCTGACACTTTGTTCCGGACCATTGCTAATGGAACACGCAAATGGAATCAGGACACACCCTTCTCATCTTGAAGGGTGCAGAAATATAAATGCATTTTAAGAAGGCAAACAAGCTTTCGCCAATTTCAGATTCTATTAAAAAAACCACTTCAATTTCTAAAAATGCTTTTTCCGATCACCTTGGGTTGCTGATAGGATGTCTTTCTGTGCAATAGATTGATACTTAAGATTATTTTCAGTAGTATGAGACACACTGCGACAGATGGCTGGTAAATTGAATATTAAATTTTATACTGTAGCATATATATAATGGTTTATCTGTAGGAATATTTTTATATTTGATAGAAAAAGAAGTGTTTATTTAGAATTAAAAAATGCGATTCAGAATGCATACTTTTTTCACCATGGCATCTACAATGATGAACACATAAACTGTAATGGAGTCGGCCCTTTTAATTATCATCTGCAGTTAGCGAGCACAAACTTTGCGTGGTTGTATTGGGAAGATGCCGTTGCTGAAGTTGGTTCCTTACAAACGTGAAAAACTTTTATTTGGCATACTTCACTTTTCTGTTTTACTTACGTTTTCTGTAATCATTTAATTAAACTTATATACTTTGGAAGACAACAAAAACGAAGGAAAAAGAACCGTTTTTACCAGATTTCGAATTTAAGGAACATATGACCACAGACATACATATAGATATTAACATTGATTGCTTTACCCAGTGGGATATGCATATTGTCGATAAAACTGGGATATCAACAGTTTTGTTTTCATTTCACAGATTAAATCGTTGATGCATTGACCTTATTTTAAAGTCCTTTATTGCAACGAAGATTGGCCTTCGTTCTTCATACAAGTTGTAAGGGCAGAATTGTTTTTACACTGAATAATCTACGATTTGTTTTTGTTTACGATGACAGGGAAACACGTCGGTGTGACCGGTTTACAGGGGATGCTTATTCCCCCATGACACCTGATTCCACCTCTGATTTTTAAAAGAAGTCCGTGTTTGCTCTGCTCTGTATTTGTATAGATTTGATGAACTTTGAGCATGATTACTGACGATTATCTTTATACTTTACATGTATGTATATAATTTGTCTCTTCGGAATTTTGGACTATCTTGATTATTGCAATTTTACTAATTGACTATCTCTGATCGAGTAACACTGTGACCATTTTCTCATTTCAAAATGGCATGTTAAAGTGTCGTTTGCTTTTCGAAGTATGTTCCAAACCAATCACGATAATAAAAATGTTCAGGTTTGTCTATTAAGAAGCAGTATATACAACTGTAAGTAAGTTGTTGAAAATCCTCAAAGGCTCCCATTTTTGTGTATGTAAAGAACCTTAATTGACAGTCGATCGTTACTTGTAAAACATGTAAAAGGGGGTCCATGAGGTCATAAGCCATATCTAGTTGACGATTAATGGTATTTTCTACTAAGATTTTGACTTGAAGTAGTTTATTTTTTGAGACTATCTTTATTTCAGTGATTAATCACTTTTTCTTTCGGATGAAATAATTCTTTACGCGATTCTGAAATGTTTGTGACAATTTAATCACATGCCAATTTTCTTTGATATTTTTTCCGATGAGCAATTTTTGTAAAGATATTGTGTCTAGCTACTTGGTATTAAAAGTTTATACCTGAATTATACTATATTAAAAAATTATATTCCACACGAAAATTTACAATAGATTACTATTATTATTTTAAAAAGCTTACAACAGGATTTACTACAATTCTTTGATTTCTGAGATATCAAGACTTAATGTCTCCTAAGTTCCATCTCAATGATGTGAATTTTGCGAATTAAATTGTGATTAAACATACAATCATATATTCACTTTCGTATCAAAATTTTTATGTATGAGTTGGAGAGGATGAAAAAGAGCAATTTAAATTTGAAAGTAAATTTTGAATTTCTTTTGTAAAAATTTATCATATTACAGTTAATTATTTCAAGCTAAAGTGTTTCTGATGGGATAAGTCTGAATATTAATTTAGGATTGCAACATTTCTTTATTTCGGTGCATTTTGCTAAAAAAAAAAGCAGAGATATTCCGAGATCTAGCATGTCATCCTTTTCGTCATATCCCTTTTTAAAAAGATAGTTTCTATTTCTACCGCAGATGTATGCCATCGATAATAGAATTGAACTCCTTTGAGGTATATTAGAAGTGCATCGAAGATGCACATTATTGATGCGTTAAGCATAGGGATGAAAGGAAGAGATTCTATCTTAACGACGACGTCGTACATCTACATTATTTCAAGGACTAAGGATCCATTTTCAATTACTTCTGTTCATCGTATCCTGAGCACCCTAAAATAAATATCTGGCTCTGAATGATACAAAAATAATCCAATTTTATACATTTTCGACATCTAACACAAGTAAATGGCGAATACGCACTTTTTACGCTGATGCCCTCTTAAAAGATACTTATCATTATCCCAATATATGTTTTTCTTTTTTAATGTGTTTTAATGTCCGGTCACGGTACATTTACTTTGACCTAATTGTATTTGATTGTCATTTTTATCTAAGGCTGGTCATCTTTCAAATGGTTAAAGAATATTTTAAAAAATGGAGGAATTGTGACTTAATATTATATAAAGGGATAGAAAGCCATGGTGCGGAAAATATGAAATAAAACTCGGTTATTTAGAAATCCTTAAATCGGATTATTTAGGAACAACAAGGTCAAAATTTAATTAAAGAAACGTCTTTTGTCAATGAAGTTAAGACCTCAATGATTGGTGACTTATTGTCGTTTTCATGTACTTAATTACACTTAATCATTTTCTATAATCTTTTAATCGATTTTTTATTTCAAAAAAATCTTTCAGCAAGTTGGATACACCTTAGAGTTAACTGTGACTCTTGTTAACCTATCGATCCAAATTAATTAACTTCAATTACGAAAATTTTCAAATCAAGAACCAAATCTCTGTCTCTGTCATATAATCAATATTTTTCTTCTCAATGACAATGGAGTATTTCCTGTAAATTTTTATATAAAGATATACATGTATCTATCTATCTGAAAACGAGTTTGATTAAAACGGGTTAATATTTATATTTTAATTTTTAAGGGATGCATTCGAGCATAGCGATAAAACTCACATATTGCAAACTATATAATCAAAAGAAATTTAAAAGAAAAAAAAACATTTTTTTAATTAAAGTAAATATGTCTATTCAGATTTGCAAAAACACCTATTTCTCTTTTATTTTGGCTTGGTGATACCATTAGTGGAGGTACAAATTTACAACTTTTTCTCGCTCATTTCACGCATAAAAAGATAGGATATTAACGAAAAAACACATGCAGTTAACACTTATTTCAGCCTTTCTATCTTTTCTCTCCCTTATATATCTCTATCTTAATTTCGCGGGAAATTCACAACGAAGTATTTAAAAACATATAATGCAAATAGTTTTTGGATTATACATTTTCAAAAAAAAAATTTCAATATTTTTAAAAGAATAAACGTTCCTACCTTTAGGAGCTTTGCTCAAATTGAAACACAGAAACTGATGCTCAGTTAGGTTAAACATCCTGCTGTCATTCTTAGCAAAGTTCACACCGTCATAAACACGGGTGTGTGTAAATTTAGGAAACCGCAGCGGAGGGATATCAGCGTTAATTGCCGCACTTTGATCTGTGTTGATTGCGCTTCGGTGAGCGTCCGAGTTGTTCTGATTCACATAGGGGGATTCTGTAAGAACCTTGGGAGAACTTATTCCTTGACAGTTAACATCCTCAATAATTACAGGAGTGCTGATAATTAAAAATATGCAAATGAAGGGAGATCTCACGCGGATTTGCATATTTATAGGAATTTGTGACATACCCTATCCAACGATAAAGAGAATTGCTTATTTCTGAACTTGTAAAACAAAAGAGGTCGACGTTCAACAGTAAATAACATATCAAATACAGATATACACATTTATCGATAGTCAGAGTGTTGACTTTTCACTTTCCTTACAATATCTATCTAGTTTCACGTCACTTTGCAGTTTATCGCTGGTAAGATTGACTGCATAATGTCATTATATTTCGATACAACAGATGGTAGCCAAGACTGATCCTAAAAATAATAGTTTTTTAAAGAATCAATATAAAGTTGCTGAGAGTAGGTCTTTGCACCGGAAAACGAAATCATTATAATCACGCCTAATGAATTCGAAGCAAAGTCTCCGTATTGAAAGAGATAGGATAACCCTCAAGATTTCATTGACAACAGTAAAAGGAGTTTGAAGACATTTGGCCTTATATATTGAATGATAACTAATCTAACGAGGGCATGATTTCCAATCATTACTTTCGTTTCTTCCGGTTCAACAAAACGAATACTAATAATGTACAAGATATTGGGTCTTGCCATATCGATTGGAAAACGCAAAAAAAATTTATTCGGAAATATGTTGTCTGCTTTCTTCCAAATTAAGTACGAGAGTTTTTCGTTTTCTCGACGTGTAACTCATTCTCATTTATCAATCAAACACGTTCGTGTTATACATGTACAAGAAATCAGCTTAAATCAGAAGCTTTCCTGTGTAGGGATCAATCACTGTAAAGTAAACATTCAAATGACATCCTTATTGGAAAAGGTTATGAATGACCAGCATGGAATTTTCACAAGTTAAATAATCTTTAACTCAAGATTCTGTTAAATATAGATGTATTGTATTTTACTGCCTTTCACACTGACATACATACATACATGTATGACATTACTAAATCCTAAAAATTCAACGAAAGTAATTCAGTTACCGGAGATTTATATCAGACTGGGAAGTAAGAAAACAGCTCTGTTCTCTTAAATTACTAGGATAAGTTTAAGTAGACCCAGTTAAGCGATTTCTTAAGACGTGCTGAATTTTACTCCATATTTCAGTTAATCATGTAGTAGCAGCAAGAATCCGAACTGAAATCCGCAGGTGACTATATTGTAGTGACGGATCCAGGACTCTTGATAAGGGGGACTTGACCACTTTGGAGTCGGGGAGGGGCCCACATGACCCCCTATAGATTTATTTCATTTTTTTTGTATATTTCGGACACGGAAAGGGGGTCGGACCCCTTGGTCCTACTATAAATCCGCCAGTGTACTGTTTTGGAAAGCAATGACAGAATAACACTGTACATATATAAGGGAACAAGAAAATAACTTCATGTAATTTTTATATGACCCCTTGTGACATGAGTAATATGACCGTGACCTTTTCATTGGTTCAACGGTTTGCATTGTTAAATACTTATGGCCTGCATGTTCACATGGAGAGTTTGATTCGAATTAATTAAACGTAAGAAGGATATGGAGATAACGAACAGTATTCAATCTCAAAGACCATAAAACAATACAAAATAAGAGCAGAGCAAACATCAGAGGTGGGATCAGGTGCCATGGAGGAGTGAGCATCCCCTGCTGACCGGTCACAACCACCGTGTGCTCCTTGTCATGATCAGGAAATAACGGGGAAAAACCGTCGTTTATTCAGTGTATTAATAGTGGACTAACAATTGGTATGAAAAACGCCAGTCAGCATATGACTCAATGATAAATTGTATTTGCTGACAAGGTCATTGTTCATGTATCGACCATAGAACCTACGAAATGATGACTTTAAACGAGACTGCTGATATTCTTGTTTCATCAACTTGCTTGTCAATAATTTACCTCGTTTTAGAAATTGTTCGTAAGTAGATCATGCTCTTACGTATCGAATCAACTAAGATATATATACTCCGTATGCAGGTGATGAAGGTATATTGCTGCATAAGTAAGGGAAGTTGACGATAGAAAAGTTAAAGTCATCACGTTTATCATATAGCTTGGTTGTTAGATTACCATTAGTGTCTTTTCAAGTAAAATATCCAAGTATGAAGCAGAAGTGTCGGACTCTGTGGTATCTTTTATCTCAAGCTCACCAGGATATATCGTATCGACGTAGGAATGGAAATAAACATTATTGACAATACGTCGTCGAGTTGAAGACTACAGCAAGTGTTTTCTTCTTTTCACGCAAACGTAAGTTTCTGCGAATTAAATCTAATTTGCATGAAGATATAATTAAGTCACATCCATATGTCGGTGGTTATATTTAGGTACCTGTGCTATTTCACATAAGGAAAATTATGTCAAACTTTAAAATGTGTACCCTTAGACACTAATGACATTAATATTTATCTGCTCTGCACAAATGACGTCATCATAGCCTTACTAAATAGCCTTAAAAGAAAATTGTGATTCGCGTCAGTTTACTTCGCAGTAGATGTCGTGTAGAATTTAAATTGCATTAGTTAAATTCGCATATTTATTTCGCATTAATATACAGCGAATTACCCCGTGTGAACAGTGTACAATTAGCTGCAGATCTGTAGCTCTCCGAAAAAAAATATATTGATAGACCGGAGAGCTACAGTGCCACCCATTAAAAAAACTGTATATTTATTGCGCACAAAAAAGTGCACTCGGTTCTTGATTAATTCTTTCAAATTCTTACCTCAATTTCAAAAAAGGAAAGATTTTTTTAAAAATCCTTTATCCTCAATCAAGTACTCTCATAATTGACATCTGAACGAAGCATATTGGACCGAATTATCTTTGAAACCAAAATGGCAGTATAAATAAGCGAAATCTTCGATAACTACAATATCAGGGTGAGGAGGACTATTAACAACAATTATGAGGAATGTTTGGTTGTGGAAACAGCGAAAGAATACGTTAGGAACACACGGTTAGTAATATTTTGAGATTACAGTTTTAAAAACATGGAGAAATAAATCAAGAACCGAGCGCACTTTTTGTGCGCAATACATATACAGTTTTTTCAATGGGTGGCACTGTAGCTCTCCGGTCTATCAATATATTTTTTCGGAGAGCTACAGATCTGCAGCTAAGTGTACAGTGTAAGTGTCTATGAAGAGCGCGGCGGACCAAATTCCGCTGGCTTCTAGATATGTCCCCGATGCATTGATTTCTTTGTGAAGGACGTCATTAGAACGTTGATTTTTTTTTTTTTAATGAAAGAGAGCATATAACGAACTTCATAATTTGTGTTATTCATTGTCACTTCAGCCAAAGAAAGTGGGAATTTAGAGAAACTACTTATCACAAAGAAGAGTCAAAACAAAAGTTCAGTTCGTTAGTTTTAAGCTAAAACATGGTGCTGTATATCGAAACAAGAATTTTAAACAAAACATACTTAATTAATAAAATCTTCCCTGGGAATTGGTTGTATATTTATCAATTTTGTATTTTGAAATGTTTCAAAATCTGTACAAAAACTTTCAAATGAATTAAAAGGTGTATCCCTCAAGTTAAATAGCATTGATCTCTCTCTCTCATCATAACCGTTTATAACGCCGTAATAAAAGAACAGTAAATGATACCATGTGAAGACTAATTACCGCTTCGGTCAGACAATTTAGGTGACGAAATGTGTATCATTTTATCTTTAGAATTATGAATAATACATTGTCTATCTTTATTAGCCGTATCTTAATAAAAAAATAAATAAATAATGGACAATCACTTGGATTGGTTGGTTTCCAATCGTTTTAAGTGGTGACTTGGGAAATTCATTTATTTTATAGATTTCTTTCAAAGTGTGTCTTGATAGTTATAAATTATTAACACGTCGTTTTACAATTGTCATTCAAATACCGTCTTTATATCTTGGACGCATTTTTCTTCGATTTTATCGGTCATGTTTTAGTCGTAAAAGATTAAATAACATTAAAAATGTGTTTACCAGATGTTTTCTGCGATTTATAATTCGTTCGAAAACTGTAATCAAGAAACCTTACAATTAAACAAGATATAAATCAGCAATAAATTCATGCAAAAGACTATTAAACTGGCACAATTTAGCAATTTTCTTATCCAACAATTTGAATTATAGACATGAGTTACACTTAGGATAAAATTGATTAATTGTACCGACATTAGAAAATCGAAATTAAGAGATCGTAATTTTCAGCAGATTAACTTAGGTCTTAGACCTACAACATCAATTATTTACCAACTTTGTAAGCGATTACAATTAAAGTACTAAGCTAATCGAGTTATACGTAGTCTTGCAAAAATATCGTCACAGTCATATTTTCTGCTTTATATTTCATGACGAAGTCCACATTTTAAGAATAATATAAATCATATAAAACCAAGTGAGAGAGAAAACGTTTCTGTTTGTACGCAAAGCGATTGAACGGAAATACAACAGGGCCATTTTCAGTTTTATATTTTACATAGAACCCCCCCCCCCAAGAAAAAATATTTTAAATAAAATATGAATCTATACTTGCTTCTAACTCCATGTTTCAAATTATTCAACAAGAATATAGTTATGTTACATTATTTCGCTGAGTTTAGTTGGGTAATAGGAAAAATATTAATTGTACGTTTTGGGAGGATAATTCAAAAATTTCTTGTGAACTTGTCGTGACCCTGAATTAGATGTTATAATGCAATACCCATCAGAAATAAATCGTTTAAGTATTTGTGAAATTTGTAAATAATTTTAACATTTACTTCATACTAAACAATGGCGGATCCATTTAAAATATTTTGAAAAGTTTCAATGAGAAGAGAGTATTAATCACATTGCGGGAGACGCATGTACAATGTACAGGTATGATGGTTGTCCCAAAAAAAGTTGTAGACAGGAAAGAAAATGAATCTCTATGCAAAAAATAAATTTATTATTTTGTCATAGTGAAATGCAACATTTTATAATCATGAATTCTAAGTTTGCTATGCTTTGGTTAGCACTGCGCATTGGTTTAATGTTGACGACGTCATATACATTGCGAATTTTTGGGACAACCCTCGTACATGTACCAATTGATAGAATTCCTCTCTTTATTAGCAATTATTAAATCAATGTACAAAGAATAAATTCACGTGGCTCATTCCATATTTTAGAAATCTGCTGCAGATAAGAATTTCAGATAATAATTAAAGTATCTTAAAATGCAATAGCTTAGGAGAAACCAAGACAGATTTGAA